TTTTTTTAACTTATCAATTTAAGATCATTGGTGCAGTCTACTGAACCAAATATATTGAAAAAAATCTTTAATTTTTTGAAATTGTAATTAAGTTACTTACATCACTATGGTTTTCACCTCTCCATATATGGATTTTGTGAATATAATAAATAATTTACTTCCCTAGTCCTGTTCCATCATACAATTGGACAAAAAGAGGTTCTATTTTGCCGCGTGGAGCATATACGGCAAGTTTCAATCGGGTATTGATATTACCTCGTGTACACGTGGAGGATCAAGGCGAATATGTTTGCCGAGTATATAACGATAGACTATCCATCGAAAATTCTGTGCAGTTGACCATACAGGCGACGCCTAATTTCACTATCCCGTTGGTTGATAAACACATGGATGATCATGCGGATTTAACTTGGACCTGTGAAGCATTTGGCATACCGGATGTCACTTATAGTTGGTTTAAAAATGGAAAACTCTTAGACATGTATACTCTACCACCTGAAGAGAGAGATCGTTATACTATACAAGATAATGTACTAAATATACGCCATGTGGATTCTGAAAGGGATCAAGGCATGTATCAGTGCCGCGCGAGGAATCAGTTGAAAACAACGTATTCATCGGCTCAACTTAGAGTCTTGTGTGAGTACTTATATATTCTCTTTCAATATTCAATTGTGCAATGTGAAAAATAACGAATTATTAAATTCTTTATGTTATTATGTAAATATATGACATTATGTAATATCTCTTTGATATTTCAGCATTGAAACCTTCTTTCAAGAAACGGCCTATGGAATCTGAGACATATGCGGCGGAAGGAGGTAACGTTACTATTGTGTGCAATCCCGAAGCCGCACCTAGGCCGAAATTTATTTGGAAGAAAGATGGGAATATAATCGGATCAGGCGGTAGGCGAAGAATTCTAGAAACTGGAAATCTTATTATCAGTCCGGTATCACGAGACGACGAAGGGACATACGTGTGCACAGCGACGAATCAGTATGGCAATGATGAAACTCGTGGACGACTGATCGTGCTACGTAAGTCAATCATTTGATGATCAAAGATTACTCAAGGAAATTTTGAATTTATAAGAAGATACATATTTACGCAAAAAGATATTAACAGATTGTATTAAATTGTATATTTGGTTACATATATATATATATATA